AGAAAGAGGAGTCCATGATGAGTCTGCCATTTCTGATATGGGCAGTTAGGTAGATAGTGACCATGTGAATGTATGCAATTTGGGAGAGGAATCAGGTTGGAAAGGAAAATTTTGAACATGTTAAGTGGAAGGTGCCTGTAACTGATCTACATAGGGTTCTCCAGCAGATGGTGGATGGCATAGGCTTGGGTTTTAGCAGAGCACCACAGGCTGTGGCTAGATGCACACATAGGAGTCATTTGCAGAGGCCTTGGGTATGTTGAAACCACCAGGAGAGAATGCCGAATGTGCAGAGCAGAGGGACCATCAGAGAAGGTGGGAATTCCAAGTAGGCAATGATCAATAGTAATAAATACACCAAACACTTCCAATCCACTGAAGACTGAAAGTATTTCTAGTGGCAGCATGGCTTCATTGACTCCATAGCTGGTGGGGTGTCTCTGGAGGTGGGGGAGCAGAAGGCAGGTTATGGGGCACTGGGGAGCAGCTAGGAGGTGAGGGAGTAGAGACAGTATGTATAGGCAGATCTTCTAGGAACCCTGATCATGAAGAGGTGGGAGACAAGATACAGGTTCCTCATTGAGTTGCCTTCCCTAAATCAGGGTTTGGATTCACAGGCTAAACCAGGGGACCTTGTAAAAATGATCCAAGGCTTAATCTGGCTGACGTCTCTACATCCTTCTGAGAAAGACCTCCTGAACACCCCATCTCTCCTAGCCTCTCCATTCAACTAAGGACATGAACGTGTTTATTGCCCATCTTTTCTCTAGTAAAATCCAGGATCCATGAAGGCAGGCGTCTTTGCTGCCTTGTTCCTTTGGTTTTCTCATCACTCAGTAATGCCTGGTATTATTTGGCATCAATTCCTGTCACTCACTGTGTCACTTTATCACATAAGGTTTCTGTTATGGGACCCAGAGGAGAATTGAGCAGCCAAATTGTTTTCATCACATGGACACTATGCCCTGTTTTATGTTTCCCTCTGATTATGCTTTTCTCTAGGCTTTAGTCATTAGAAATGGAGTCAAATTTGCATCCTATCTTTAGCAGATGATACAACATCCGGGCACATGCTTTTGTGTGAATTCATTCAACACACCACTAACTTCGAGCTTTTTTATCCTCATCTTATTTTCCATTTATCTAATTTCTTCTTTTCTTTATATTTGATATTTGTTTTTCTTATCCAGAGTGCAGTTTCCCAAGTTTCTTCAAATGTTTTTTGGAAAAAGAGTGAGGTTATATGTCAATAATGAGAAAAATAGGATGGTAAATAGAAGTTGTGCAGAATTGGGTTTTGAGATTTAAGAGAAATCAAGTAGGGAAGAGGCTGACTTTACAGGTAAAGGGGGTACCCTGAGGGGATTGGGGAGATGGGGATGTGATCCATAGCCTTGGTGGGTTTCTAGGAGATTTCAGCTTTGTTGGAGACACATCAAAGACACTAGGAAGAGAATAACAAAACAAAGCCATAGAAGAGCATGTGCTGTCATGAATGGTTCAGAAGGCTTGGATACGGGTACCAAAGAGGAGAGAGTGTCGTATATACCAGCATGTTCTAGAAGGCTTCATGGAGGATTTTAGGCAAATTCAGCCTTGAAATGGGAATAAGATCTAAAAAGAGCAAGTGAACCTTCCATTTGTCAAGAAAAAATTGAATGTGGCAGTGGCTTTTGGGTGGCAAGTGGCCAGAAATCTAGGTCCACCCTTGCTGGGAAGGAGGCACTAGCTGGAGTTTGGACTGCAGTGGGCTGTTGAGGTCACTTCGTGGACTTCAGTTTGGAAGCCCCAAGCTGTGGGGGTGTCTTTGCCCAGGTCCTAACAGGATGATCTCCTCTCTTGCCTGGCTGCTCAACTTGCCGTTACTGGCCAAGCTTTTCAGATAAGTGCATTCATTCCTGCCCATTCAGATCTGCTTTCTTTGCTGACCTTGGCAGCAGAAATGCCAGGCTGGATTGAAATTTCACTTAAGGTGCACAGAGCATCCCTTCCTTGCCGACTCATCAGCCAGCAATAAATGGAACTTCCTGACAGTTTTAAATTTTCTGCCAGGGAGCAGCTGGTGAGTGTTCCTGTGGAGAAGCAGTCTTTGAGAAGTTTTATCAGTATCTGGCTAGAGAATGTTGTTTTCTCCCTCTCCTCCCCTTTCCTCCCCTCATTCCTCTCTTCTCTCTCCCTCTCTTCTCTTCCCCTTCCCGCTTCTTTCCTTTTAACCCCTCTCTTCTTCTAAGTCTTACCTGTAAAGTCTTTGTACTTCTTCAGTCCCTAGCCGCTGAAAATTAATTCAGGGACAAGAGAAGGCCTTCTCTGCACAGCTTTCTGAGTTACTGATTACTGTCTTTAAGAGTCAAAGAGCTGGCCAGGCGCAGTGGCTCACACCTGTTTTTCCAGCACTTTGGGAGGTGGGTGGATTGCAAGGTCAGGAGACTGAGATGTTCCTGGCCAACATGGTGAAACTGCATCTCTACTAAAAATACAAAAATTAGCTGGGTGTTGTGATGCATGCCTGTGGTCCCACCTATGCTGAAGGCTGAGGCAGGAGACTCACTTGAACCTGGGAGGCAAAGGTTAGAGTGAGCTGAGATCACACCGCTGCACTCCAGCCTGGTGATAGAGTGAGACCCCATCCAAAAAAAGAAAAGATTCAAAGAGCAACCTTTTTTTTTTTTTTTTTTTCAAGGTTCTCTTAATGAGCCATTTTAGCATCAGACTTCCAATTTTCACCCCTGCCAGATAACAGCCACTGGGAAGGTTTGGGAAACCAGTCTCCTTTCCAGAGACTTGTAGCTATTGGGCTACAGGAGCAATATAATCATTCCCCATTAGTGCTCTATGAAAGTGCAGATGGTGTACAGAGTCCTGATGCTAGTTTGCTTGCCTTTTTTTCACCCTCCCTGAAGCATTTTGGTTTATGCCCCTTCATTTCAGAAAACAAGGAAAAGGCCTGGCTCAGTGTGTTTGGGTGAATATCAGTACAGTATCATAAATTTCCTATATGAAACCTAAGCTTTATTGTTATTTACCTAGGCATGTGAAGACACCTGTTAGCCTCCAGTAGGAAAATATGTTAATCACAGCTCCCTTTGCTGCTGCAGCAAGTGCATGGTCCCCTCCCAAAGTAATAATCTGTCACCTTAAAACAAAGGCAACAGCCTGAAAAATAACCTGATAATTGTATTAGTGATCCCCAGCAAGGCAATTAAAACAGAAGTATAGATGTCCTCTGGGGAAGAGGTTTCAGACCTTGGCCAAGCTCCATTATCCCCTTTACCTAACCTTTTTGTTTTCTCTCCAGTTCTCCTCAGCTCTGGGTCTTTTGGAGATTAGAAATATTTCTGACATGCTGTGTAAATATATGCAAATTCAATGTGAGTTCTTGTCAGCTCCACTTTGCCCCATGTGGCTGCGCTGCCTGTGCAGTGTTGGGCTGCCGGCCTCCTGGAATCGCAGCAATATGGCCTGTGCACCCTGCGCCAGGAGCCTTTAGCAGCCTTGAGGAATCAGATTATGGAGCTCTGACATCTCCGTGGTATCAGTGAGTGGAACCCAGGCTTCTAGGCTGTGGAACAGCACAAAGCAATGTCAAAGGCAGGAGGCAAAGTTGCTGATGTCTACTGATTTTTAGAATATCTACTTGGTTTCCCAATTTTATTTTAATCTATATGCAGCCACATTAGAAACTGGCTATCATGACAGCAGTGATTATCTGATGATGTCCTTATACATGCATGTCTTTCAGTGCTGGTCTTTTAAGTTGATTGCTGCTGAGATTTTCTAGAGGAGCACATCCTGATGTGTATGTGGGCAGACATGTGGCTCTCTGTGTATAAACGCATGCAGAGTATGATCAACACAAGGGTCAACATTACATTTGCATATTAACTCCAAATAACCAACATGTGACTCCTAAAATAGGCATTCTCAAGCAAAGGGAAAGTTGTCTTGATTTTCTTGAGATTGTCGTGGGTCCTCCTATCCTTTCCTTTAAGGGTTTTCCCATCTTCACTCATCTTCATTGGCCTGTTTGTCGGGGCCAGTAAGATAGGAAGTGTGGTTCTGGGTGGGTAGGAAAAGCCAAAAAAAAAAAAAAAAGTTATGGGTAACTGGAAGAGAATTTTCAGAACTTATGTGACTACCACCACCTTCAAATGTAACTTTTCAATTGAGAGCAAAGGATTCTTTGCTAGATTCCATTCTCTTATCTTTCTTGCCCGTATGTCATCATGCAAACAGTAAAAAGGTGAATGTTGGACTCACATAGGACTTTAATGTAATTGTCATTAACAATTAAGAGCCATTATTATTTCCCATTTTGGAACAAAGCCCTTCCTAACACCCTACTTATTATGCCATCACCTGGAGTGCATATGAATAAATTCCTGCTGCTGCTCACCCTGAAGCTGCCCAAGGAAGAAGCAGCTCAAACAAATCTTAGCCCTCTCATTTGGAGAGTCCGCCCTAATGACTCACTGATAGTTATTGAGAAACAGATTCATCCATCTCTGTGGATGGCTGAAAGAGAAGAGAGTGATCTGAAGGGCTCAGGAGTCCTTTAGAGATTATATTACTAAAGATTCCTCTATGAGTGTGCCCTATTAAAATTTATGGAAAAACAACCTGAATTCTGGGTCCCTGTAAAAGGCTCCAACCTGAATTTATCATTGAATCTGCATTATCTTAGGATTACCCTTCAGTTATGATGACAGTACAGGGCTTGACAATTGTGTCATATTTTTGATATTTAATTGATGTGTGATTTTTTTATTTTTAAATTTTAGTATTTCAGTACGTTTGTGGGGAGCAGATAATGCTTGGTTACACGAATAAGTTTTTCGTGGTGATTTCTGAGATTTTGGTGCACCCATTCACCCAAACAGTATACACTGACCCCATTGTATAGTCTTGTGTCCCTTGCCACCCTTCACCCTTTCCCAAGTCCCCAGAGTCTATCTTTTCTTTTTTTTTTTGAGACAGATTCTCTCTCTCTTACCAGGCTGGAGTGCAGTGGTGCGATCTCGACTCACTGCAACCTCTGCCTCCTGGGTTCAAGTGATTCTCTTGCCTCAGCCTCCTGAGTAGCTAGAACTACAGGCTCGTGCCACCACACCCAGCTAATTTTTTGTATTTTTAGTAAAGACAGGGTTTTACCATGTTGGCCAGGATGGTCTTGATCTCTTGACTTTCTGATCCAACTGCCTCTGCCTCCCAAAGTGCTGGGATTACAGGGATAAGCCACCAAACCCAGCCAAATGTACCATTCTTATGCCTTTGTGTTCTCATAGCTTAGCTCCCAATTATGAATGAGAACATATGATGCTTGGTCTTCCATTCCTGAGCCACTTCACTAGAATAACCATCTCCAGTTCCATCCAGGTGGCTGCAAATGCCATTAATTCATTCCTTTTTATGGAAGAGTAGTATTCTATTTGTGTATCACATTTTCTTTATCCACTCATTGATTGATGGACATTTGGGCTGGTTCCGTATTTTTGCAATTGCATATTGTGCTCCTATAAACATGCATGTGCAAGCATCTTTTTTGTAATGACTTATTTTCCTCTGGGTAAGTGGTGGGATTGCTGGATCAAATGGTTGATCTACTTTTAGTTCTTTAAGGAATTTCCACACTGTTTGCCATAGTGGTTGTACTACTTTACTTCCCACTAGTAGTGTAAAAGTGTTTCCTTTTCACTGCATCTCCATCAACATCTATTATTCTTTGATTATGGCCATTCTTGCAGGAGTAAGTTGGTATCATATTGTGGTTTTGATTTGCATTTCCCTGATAATCAGTGATGTTGAGCATTTTTTCATATACTTGTTGATCATTTGTATGACTTCTTTTGAGAATTGTCTGTTCATGTCTTTAGCCCACTTTTTGATGGGGTTTTTTTTTTCTTGATGATTTGAGTTCTCTATAGATTCTGAATATTAGTCCTTTGTCAGATGTATAGATTGTGAAGATTTTCTCCCACTCTGTGGGCTGTCTGTTAACTCTGCTGCTTATTTCTTTTGCAGAGCAGAAAATTTTTCGTTTAATTAAGTTCCATATATTTATTTTTGTTTTTGTTGCATTTGCTTTTGGGTTCTTGGTCATGAAGGCCTTGACTAAGCCAATGCCTAGAAGGGTTTTTCTGATGTTATCTTCTAGAATCTTTTTGGTTTCAGGGTCTTATATTTAAGTTTTGATCCATCTTGAGTTGATTTTTATATAGGGTGAAAGATGAGGATCTACTTTCATTCTTCTATATATGGCTTGCCAATTATCCCAGCGTCATCTGTTGAATAGGGAGTCTTTTCCCCATTTATGTTTCTGTTTGCTTGGTCAAAAATTAGTCAGCTGTAAGCATTTGGTTTTATTTCTGGGTTTCATTCCCTTGGTCTATGTGCCTATTTTTATACCAGTACCATGCTGTTTTGGTCACCATGGTCTTATAGTTTAGTTTGAAGTTGGTCAGTGTGATGCCTCCAGATTTGTGGGGTTTGTTGTTGTTGTTGTTGTTGTTTGTTTGTTTGTTTTGCTTAGTCTTGCTTTGGTTATGCAGACTCTTTTTTGGTTCCATATGAATTTAAGGATTGTTTTTTCTAGTTGTGTAAATAATGATGATAGTATTTTGGTAAGAATTGCTAGACTGCTTTTGGCAGAATGGTCATTTTCACAATGTTGATTCTATCCATCCATGAGCATGGGATGTGTTTCCATTTGTTTGTGTTGTCTATGATTTCTTTCAGCAGTGTTGTGTAGTTTTCTTTGTAGAAGACATTCATGTTCGTGGTTAGGTATATTCCTAAGTATTTTGTTTTTTTGCAGGTACTGTGAAAGGGGTTGAATTATTGATTTGATTCTCATCTTGGTCACTGTTGGTATATAACAGAACTACTGATTTGTATATGTTAATTCTGTATACTGAAACTTTGATGAACTCATCTACAAGATTTAGGAGCTATTTGGATGAGTCTTGAAGGTTTTCTATGTACATGATAACATCTTCAGCAAACAGCAACAGTTTGACTTTCTCTTTACTGATTTGGATGCATGCCCTTTATAGTTCTTTCTCCAGTTGCTTTGGCTAGGACTTCCAATACTCTATTGAATAGAAGTGGTGAAAGTGGGCATCCTTGTCTTGTTCCAGTTCTCAGGGGGAATGCTTTCAACTCTTCCCTATACAGTATAATGTTGGCTGTGAGTTTGTCATAGATAGCTTTGCTTACCTTAAGGTATGTCCCTTATATGCTGATTTTGCTGAGGATTTTAATCATAAGAGGATGCTGGATTTTGTCAAATGCTTTTTCTGCATATATTGAGATGATGTGATATTTGTTTTTAATTCTGTTTATGTGCTGTATCACACTTATTAACTTACATATGTTAAATTATCCTGCATCCCTGATATGAAACCTACCTGATCCTGGTGGATTATCTTTTTATTATGCTGTTGGGTTTGGTTTGCTAGCATTTTGTTGAGTATTTTTGCATCTGTGTTCATCAGTGGTATTGGCCTGTATTTTTCTTTTTCTGTTATGTTCTTTTCTAGTTTGGCATTAGGATGATACTGGCTTCATAGGATGATTTAGGGAGGATTCCCTTTTTGTCTTTCTTTTGGAATAGTGTCAACAGGATTGGTACCAGTTCTTCTTTGAATATCTGATAGAATTCAACTGTGAATCCATCTAGTCCTGGACTTTTTTTGTTGGCAATATTTTAATGACCCTTTTAATCTCATTGCTTGTCATTTCTCTGTTCAGAGATTCTGTATCTTCCTGGTTAAATCTAGGAGGGTTGTATATTCCCAGAAATTTATCCATCTCCTCTAGGTTTTCTAGTTTATGTTCATAAAGGTGTTTATAGTAGCCTTGAATAATTTTTTGTGTTTCTGTGATATCAGTTGTAATATCTCCTGTTTTATTTCTAACTGAGCTTATTTGAATTTTCTCTCTTCCTTTCTTGGTTAATCTTGCAAATGGTCTATTAATTTTATTTATCTTTTTAAAGAACCAAGTTTTGTTTCATTTATCTTTTTGTATTGGTTTTTTGTTTCAATTTCATTTAGTTCTACTCTGATCTTTGGTATTTCTTTTCTTCCGCTGGGTTTGGGTTTGGACTGCTCTTGTTTCTCCAGTTCTGTGAGGTATGACCTTAGATTGTCTGTCTGTGCTCTTTCAGACTTTTTGATGTAGGCATTTCATGCTATGAACTTTCCCCTTAGCACTGTTTTTGCTGTATCCCACAGGTTTTGATAGGTTTTGTCACTATTGTTCAAAGAATTTTTAACTTTCCATCTGGATTGTATTGTTGACCCAGTGAGCATTCAGGAGCAGGTTCTTTAATTTCTATGTATTTGCATGGTTTTGAGGGCTCCTTTTAGAGTTGATTTTTAGTTTTAGTCCACTGTGGTCTGAGCGAGCACTCAACATAATTTTGATTTTCTTAAATTTACTGCGACTTGTTTTGTGGCCTATCTTATGGTCTATCTTGGAGAATGCTCCATGTGCTGATAAATAGAATGTATATTCTGCAGTTGCTGGGTAGAATGTTTTGTAAACATCTGTTAAATCTGTTTGTCATAGGTTATAGACCTAAATCCATTGTTTAAGTCCATTGTTTCTTTGTTGACTTTCTGTCTTGATGATCTGTCTAGTGTTGTCAGTGAAGCATTAAAGTCCCCCACTATTATTGTGTTGCTGTCTATCTCATTTCTTAGGTCGAGCAGTTATTGTTTTATAAATTTGGGAGCTCCAGTGTTAGGGCATATATATTTAGAATTGTGATATTTTCCTGTTGCACATGTTCTTTTATCATTATATAATGTCTCTCTGTCTTTTTAAACTGCTGTTGCTTTAAAGTTTGTTTTGTCTAACATAAGGATTGCTATTCCTGCTCACTTTTGTTTGTCTGGAAGACTGTATCTTTCCTTTGTTTATGAAGCTTAGTTTTGATGGATACAAAACTTAGCTGATAATTGTTTTCTTTTGGAGGATTAAAATAGGACCCCAATCCCTTCTAGCTTGTAGGGCTGAGAAATCTGCTATTAATCTGATATATTTTACTTTATAAGTTACCTGATGCTTTTGCCTTTCAGCTCTTCAGATTCTTTTCTTCATCTTGACTTTAGATAACCTGATGACTATGTGCCTAGGCAATGATCTTTTTGCAATAAATTTCCCAGATGTTCTTTGGCTTTGTGTATTTGAATATCTAGATCTCTAGCAGGGCTGGGGAAGTGTTTCTCAATGGTTCCCTCAAATATGTTTTCCAAATTTTTAGATTTCTCTTCTTCTTTGGGAACACCAATTATTCTTAGGTTTGGACATTTAACATAGTTCCCAACTTCTTGGAGGCTTTGTGCATTTAAAAAAATTTTTTTTCCTCTGATGGGTTGGGTTAATTCAAAAGCCCTGTCTTGGAGCTCTGAAATTTATTATTCTACTTGTTCAGTTCTATTGCCAAGACTTTCTAGTGCATTTTTTTTTCTGTCCTTTCCAGAAGGTTGTGATTCTTTTTTTGTTTATGCTCCCTATTTCAGTGAATATTTTTTCTTTCATATCTTGTATGTATCATGTTTTGATTTCTTTAAGTTGGACTTTACCTTTCTGTGGTACCTCCTTGATTAGATTAATACTTGACCTTCTGAATTATTCTTCTGACAAATCAGAGATTTTGTCTTGGTTTGGATACATTGCTGGTGAGCTGTTATGATCTTTTGGAGGTGTTAAAGAAGTTTGTTTTGTCATATTATCAGAATTGTTTTTCTGGTTCCTTCTCATTTGGGTAGACTATATCGGAAGGAAGATTTGGGATTCAAGGACAGCTGTTCAGATTCTTTTGTCCCATGGAGTGCTACCTTGTTGTTCTCCCCCTTCTCCTAGGAATGGGGCTTCCTGAGAGTTGAACTATAGTGATTGTTTTTGCTCTTCTGGGTCTAGCCACCTAGTGGAGCTACTGGGCTCCAGGCTGGTACTGGGGAGTGTTTGCAAAGAGCCTTGTGATATGATCCATCTTCAGGTCTTCTAGTTGTGGATACCAGCACCTGCTCTGGTGGAGGTAGCAGGGGAATGAAATGGACTCTGTGTGAGTCCTTGATTGTGTTTTTATTTAGTGCACTGGCTTTTTGTTGTTCAACCTCCAGCCAGGAGGTGGCACTTTCAAGAGTGCATCAGCTGCAGTTCTATAGGGAAGATGCAAACTTGCCCTAGGAACACCTTGTTAAGTAATCAGGTTTCTCAGGTGGTGGGCAGGGCCTTAGAGCTCCCGAGAGATTGTGACCTTTGTTTTTGCCTACGAGGGTTGGTAAAGAAAGACCACCAGGTGGGGGAAAAGATAGGCATCTCTAAGCTTAGCCTCTCCTTGGGCAGGGCTTGCTGTGGCTACTGTGGGGGATGGGGGTGTGGTTCCCAGTCCAGTGGAATTATATTCCCAGGCGGATTATGGCTGCCTCTGCTGAGTCATACAGGTCAACAGGGAAGTGAGGGAAAGCCAGCTGTCACAGGCCTCACCCTGCTTCCATGCAGCCTGTAGTCCTAAAGGCTAGCCTCATTTCCTTCATGCTCCCCCAACAACACTGAATCTATTTGCAGGCAGCTGGTGACCAGGGCTGAGAACTTGTACCAGACCATGAGTCTCCCTTTTGAGAAAGCAAGCAGATTCACAGTTTTTGGCATCTCAGGGAGCCTGCAGCAGTGATCCAGTTCCTTCAAAGCGTCTGTGGATTCTCTCAGCTTTCCTGGTATGTTCTTGCAGTAGTTTTTGGAGCAAACATTCATAGTGTGAGTCTTCACATGCTGCTCTGTCTGTCCAAGCGGCAGCTGCAAGCTAGTCCTGCTTCCTAGCATATCTATGATTCTTTAGCAACTGAAAGTCTAAAGCCATCATTTGTCTCCTCTTGCCACGATGACTAAATATAAATATGTATTTCACATGTCTCCTAACTGGCAAAAAATGCCCCTCAATGGAACTTTAGTTTCCATTACCTGTGAAAGAAGGAGCAAGTCACTGCTATAAGGTGTCACTCGGCCTCTTGGGCCCTGGTTCTAGAAGCTCTGGATAGTGACTGCCTGTCATTGGAGTGCTCAGAATCTCTTTGTGCTTGAAGTTCTCAGAGAGAACATATATCTGGGCTAGTTCTGAGCTGCTCTTCCTGAGGACACCCTTCCGTCACCTCTTCAGGGAAGAGCCTGTCCCTCCCAACTGTCCATATAGAGACTCCCCTCAGACTGACTTATAATTCTCTCACACTTCTCAATTTCAGCTCCTACCAGTGGCATTTTGTGTGGCATATTTTATGTTTCCACATAAAATAGAATTAAAGCAAAGACTTAAAAGAATTAATAACCATCTGATGACTTTCTGTCACACCCGTAAAATCCTAGTGTAATTTAAAAATATGTATAGTTTTTGAATTCATATGTTAAAATGTTTAAATAATGTTTTCTTGGTGTAAAAGAACAACAATGGGGTACTCTAAAGAGGCTCCAAAGTGAATTGTGTACACTACCTATTCCATATTTGGAGTTAGATTACCTCAGCATAGCTCTCCACATTTGGTGGAAATCTGTCAGTTGTTTTTGTGTGATATGCTAATAATAATAGGCATGTGTCTTAGCATGTTACCTATGACAAAATACCTAAAACTGGATAATTAAGAAAGAAAAGGAATTCATTTATTACAGTTATGGAGGCTGAGAAATTCAAGGTAGAGAGGCTGCATCTGGTGAGCACTTTATTGTTGGTAGGTACTCTGCAGAGTTCTGAAGTAGGACAGAGCATCACATGGTGAGAGGCTGAGCTTGCTAGATGGGATCTCTCTTCCACTTCTTTTTTTCTAATTAAGAAATTTATTAATACATAATATGTATACATACTTATGAGGTACATGTGATATTTTGTAACATGCATAGAATGTTTAATGAGTAAAACACCAAAAGCAATGGCAACAAAAGCCAAAATAGACAAATGGGATCTAATTAAACTCCAGAGCTTCTGCACAGCAAAAGAAACTATCATTAGAGTAAACCGGCAACCAACAGAAAGGGAAAAAATTTTTGCAATCTACCTACCTGACAAAAGGCTAATATCCAGAATCTACAAAGAACTTAAATTTACAAGAAAAAACAACCCCATCAAAAAGTGGACAAAGG